GGCTAGCAACATGGACAATCAGACACAGGAGGAAGTAAAACTACAAGACACCCAAGATGTGTGATTACCAAAGTAAATTAGAAAATGTTAACTGAAAAAAATAACTAACAGAATTCTAAAATTATAAATAGTAATCAGAACTAAAAGAGAACCAAGACTAAAAGCTCGAAAAATAAACTTAAGTACCAAACTCTACAGAACTAGCGCAAATATAACGTAATACAAAAGGAGCAAACAAAAACATTTTCTGTGATTCTAATTAAACACAGAAAAAACAAAAACCATGACAATGACAAAACCCATACACCACAACAGGTAATGGATCCTTAAAAGGTCAAACCTGATTTTACTATTGATTAAATTCTGAAAACAACTTTTTCAAGAATCAAGGGCATTCACTTTATCAACATTAGGAAATCCAGCACAGATAGCCACTAAGAATTAGCATCCTGATAAACTGTTTTCTCAAATTTGTGAATTGCATATTTCTCAGATATTTCACAGGGACCTGTTTTTTAAACTATCCAACTCCCCGCCCTGCTGAACTGCTCTTTAACACTTGTGTAAATCTGGGCACTGGGGACTTGGACCTAAAAAAAAATCATCTGGCTTACTCTTGTAGAAAGAACAGCTATCTTCCTCTGCAGGAGATAAAGCAGTCAGCCAAGTAAAACAGGTCCCAGAATGGAGCTGAACTCCAGCAAAACCTTCCCTAAACCACCCACCTTGTTGCTCCTACAGAATAGATCCGCACAGAAGAGGTATGTGTTGTAATGACAGTGGAGCTTCTAAATCTCCCTTAAAAATAATTTCCCCTTAAAAAATAATTTATTGTGAGCAAATAAAAGAAACATTTACATGCTTTTAATAAATTACAGATAAATGGAAAAATCAGTATCCCTCTCATGCCTCTTTGTCATCTTTAATTTAGCTAGCTATTCTTCCTTGTTTCTAGCTTAAATGCTAAGCTGAGCTAAGGATCGTCTAGCTCATATTTAGCACCCTATGCCTGGGGAGGATCATATTATCAAAATACTGCTGTGAGGTAACAGCGCACAGCAGTATGACAAAAGTAATAAGTGAATGACTGAAAAACCCTTTTAAAATGCCATTCAAATGCCTTTTGAAACAAACTGGCACCATCTTAAAGTGTTTAATGCTGATTTGATGAATGATCAGTAGAAACTGATGCGTGCCTTTCTTTCTCGACTCAGGTATTCACAAACCTCCAGCGATCTTGACGTCAGTTTGGCAAACAGTGCTTTATCATTGCTGTTAGACACATGGACACAGAAGCAAACACAAGTCGACGGTTAAATGCCTTTCAAGGTGTCTGTGAGGCCTCAAAGGTAAAACTCCCATTCGTCTGGACCTGGAGTTGAATCACAACACTATGTGATGTTTCTTGCAGATTTATTCTTGAACTCCCTTTTTAATAAAGAATGTGCAAATCTGCTTCCCTGGATCTCGCTGTGTGTGTGTGCGTCCCATGCAGTCATGTCAACAGAGCAATCATTCATGTAAAGGAGAGTATACACTTAGAGGGTTTAGCTCTGCTGGCAGGTGATGATGGACAAGCCTTTCAGGGAACAAGTGAGGGATGGAAAGAGGGAGGAGGGAGACAGATGGTTGGAAAAGAAGGAGTGGAACAGAAGAATCCATAAACCTCTTTGTGGAATTCTCCTCACAAGTGTGGGGTGGCGATGAGAAAGGAAAGGGGGCAAAAAAACAGCTTAAAACTTTAAAAAGGTAAAAGCTATCATTGTATGGGGCATTTCCGTTCCATTGTCGCCCAGCCTGGGCAGAAAGCCATGGCCAAACAACCTCCCTTTCTCTCTGTTAAGAGGACAGGTACAGGAAACAGTCATTCATTAACAACCTGGAGCTCATTAGCTTTGGTGAAGTACTCTTCAGAATATGTGCAATTCCACCTCTGAGGGCAACTCTTAGTGTGTGCGCATACATGTGTTTGTGAAGGGGCTTAGAGGTGAGGGGGGGCTAAAGGGTAAGGCAGGGCCAGAGGAGGTGGGTGTGCAGGTTTGGTGACCTGGGGTCCTCCAGCAGATGAGGGAAATGCTGGTGCGAGCGACTTTAACAACATTAGAACTCAGTGAACCATGTCACCTACAAACAACCACGATGATTTACCTTTCAGCAATTTGTTTTTCATTAATGGTTTGAATTGTGATTTTTGTGAGACTATAAGAGCTTGAAACCTATTTGACTGTTTTAAGTGCCACATCACAATCTGCATGTGCAACATTACCTCGGCTCTGAATTCTCATCAAGCAGCAAAGTAAAAAAGTCAAGTCTAGTTAGAAAAGTTCAGAACACGATACACAACAGGCTACCACCCAGTTTTCCAAGTGCACCCTGTCATTTGTAAGATGTCAGCCTGCCCCTTTGCACTGGCTGGACAGGATGCAGGAGAGTTGTGTGCCTTTATTGGCTTTAAAAGATAATGACATGCCTACTGCCCACCGTTTACTGCTGATCCAGGGTCAGCGAGTTCCTCAGCCTCCTTGAGGTCCAAGGTTCAGACTGCAGCTTAGGAAAATAGCTCTTGTATTTGTGGTTAAGAACACCAGAAAGGACACTTGTATTTTGATTGAAGCACTTTCCTCCGGGGTGGCTAAAACTTTCTCTCACAACCTTCGAATATGAGAATAAATAGCTGCCACCCATGCAGTTGACAAGGCGCTCGCACTCTTTCACCATCACTGCAGCAAGCTTAAGGCCACATGCCCTTTTTCATTACTCTGAACAGGCCAGCTGTATTGTAACTACAACCAATTTCCTTGCAGTCTATAAAGCTGTCAATCAAAATCATGCAGAATAAGGAGCGGAGTGGAGGTGGTTGGGGCTGCTGGGGAAGGGCTGCAGGCCTCCAGACCAGATGTCAGAGTTTAAAACTGCAGGACGTGTCAGAGGGAGGAGAGAGGGGTGGAAGAAGATCATGTTTATCTGGAGAAGAATCAACCAATCAGACCAAAGCAATCGTTTTAAGTTCCATTTATTAAAGTTATGAACAAAAAGACAAATAAGTTATATTTTTATTTGTTAGAAATCTATCAGTGTTTGAACATTAATATTTAGGGAGCTAGTACAATTTCTACTTTCATGACTAGCTTTCGACAAACCCATAGAAACAGCTGATCAGAACATAATACTGAAGGGGAGGTGTCAATGTTGTCTAACAAGACAGTTAGCAATGAAAGTGTGCACCTTAAGGCTTTTTTTCTGTTATGGTATATCATTACATATAAACTCTTTAAAAATATACTTCTGTCAAATACCTTGACAACTACTATGTACACTACAAAAATAAATTTTCATATAAATAAATTATATGGCATACATTTATCTTTGTAACTGAAAACAGCATACATCCACGCCAAGCAAGACCAGAAAGGCAGTCTGGAAGAACCAAATTTTTTTTTTCCTTTTAAAATCCTCTAAGAGCTATGATGAGACCTGTAGTGTAATATTGTTATATACTCTTTTTTTCCTATTTAACATTAGTAAGCACTTTATACAGATCAAAATCCATTAATGTAAAAACATTAAACTGTAATAGTGTTTTTTTCAACAGACATAAAAATCCCTGCATTTGTTATCCACATCACAACAATAATGAAAGAAAAAAAAAAACAACAAACATTTTTTATATTACAAAAATATAAATATCGCAATTGACTGAAAAACAAACAAAAAACATTTAAAATGAATAAAATAGTTGCCAGCTATGATTCTCTCCGCTACTGCCAATGTGACACTGGGAGAAAACAGAACAAAAAACATAAAAAAAACAAAACAAAGAGAACAACCACCTATTTCATGCAAGCAGCTGATGTAACAGGACGAGAAAAACTGCAAAGATTTCTGGGAAAAGCTACAAGTGTTTAACAGGATATGAGTGTAAAGGTTTTGAGGAGGGTACTCACGGGGTGCCAAAGGGGAATGGGGAGTCTATGGGGACACATGCAGGTATAAAATGGCCATTGGTGGTGGAGTGAGGGGCTGGCGGTGTAAACTCTGACCCCTGAGGCTCTGTGCTGTGTAATGCAGCATTTTGAGGGGAGAAGTCCAATTAGTGTCGTGGCATTTAGCTGTGGATGTTTTGTGAGATGAAGACAGTGGAGACAGCTGTTGCCAAACTGGAGCCAGCTCTCTTTACTGTCACTAAATTGAGCATAGGCAGTAAGATGATGGACCCTCACACATACACGAACGATTATACACACATGCACATTGTAACACACATGGAGCGCATTGTCAGGCCATATAGGGCTTAGCCCTTAGCAGGCTGCATGGGCTTAGCTTACTGGATGGACAGAAAGAGCTACTTTCGGCAAGATATTCCTGTGAATAAAGTTTAAATGCAGTCAAGTGCCTTGGTTAATCGGGTCATACAGTATACAGTCTGATTTTTTAGCTTATCCACTAGACACAACCACTTAGGGTGCAGAGTTAGCACCCTGTGTTAACCCTGTTCCAGAATCAGTAACATGAATGTCCCTGTAAAGGTAGAGTGAGTTTTTGAGGTGGGTTTACTGCTCATAAGTCAGTATGTAAGACGGAACCTGTTTTGAGCCTGCTAGGGTTAAACAATACATAACCTCATACAGTAAAATACAACCAGCTTAACAGACAGTGATACAAAGCTGAGAGCAGAAACAGGTTCCAATGCCGAGGCGATAAAATTAAACAAAATTTAAAAAACAGCTTTTAAAATTCTTCATATCAGCTCATATTAAATAGCACGCATAGCGTGTCAAGTTAAACAGTAAATGTTTCATAACTACCACAGGTTTGTGATAAAATTAATAGTTTTACAAACGTACCTTTATACAATACTCACACACACACACACACACATACACACAC